CCATTGTGGTGGTGTATAGAGCCAAAGATGTTAGAATTGTGTCGATGTCCCAATATTTCTGGACCTGACTGTACATATAGCCACATCCATACAGTTTTCTTATCATAGGAGAGAAGTGGTTTGTTGTTGCCCTGCACTTCCCAGGTGGTCCCTCATCCAAGCTGCATAGCTTTCCAGATCAGGCAAGGTCAGCTAGATGCTGCCACTCCTCTTGGAGGCTGGTATGATACTGCATGGTAAACAGCTGAAATCAGCTTTCTTCAAGCTGGTGCCCTTCAGTTGTGGTGGGCTGCAGATACTCAGAATAACCACATTCACTGGGAATTTGAGGTGTTGTTGCTCATTACATGAAGGAGGCATCAGCATGGGAAAGTCTGATCTAGCTTTTGGGGCAAAGAATCACATTTTACATCTGTAACACAATTCAAAAGTAGCACTTCGTTTAAAGCTACAGAAGCATCTAAGGGAATGCTGCAGGAACAGCAGCTGGCTGGGTTGAAAGAGATAGAGCCATCTGGTTGTCTGGAAAGTTTTATCTTTTCTTTTTAAGAAATCCTTTATTACTAGACATTTTTGCATTAAATTGAGGTAAAAATATCCAAGACTGACATGGAAAAAAAGAGAAATTCAAAATCTGTTAGCATTAAGTGGCTATGGCAAGCATTTAGTTGAAATACTGGGCAATGTTAGTATTTGAATGAGACTACCTGGAATTCTAGGGCTCTTAGATGAAGAAGTTGAAAACACTTCCTGGAAAAAGACCATAGCAACCACTTTGTAATGATACCAAGAAAAATGTATGGATACAGTCTGGAAAATTGATTTCAACTCAAAAGTAGTTTGATGGCAGCACTGCCATAATCAAAGGGATCTAGATTCATCTCAGAAGCTAAGAAATTTATTTAAGCATAGTTTTTAAGATTTCCAAGGTAAGCAGTGTGTAGCGTTAGTTATTCTGTCACACGTCTCCATTGCTTTCTATTTTTGAAAGGTGGAATGTTGGAATACTTTTAAAACAATAGCTTGCTCTGTAAACAGAACGTTTGGTACAAACTGAAGAAAAAAATGTGCTGATGTTATAAGATCTATATGTTCAATTCAGGTCCTCCTAGCAAGAAGGGACCCAAATACTAGACAGAACAAATTTAGCTCCACATTAAGGGGATGGCATTGAAGAGAAAGAAGTAGAGCTTGAACAGGTCTGTTTTTCTGACATCTTGCCCCTTGTATTTAGGAAGACATCAAAAATAAATGGCATTGAATATGTCCCTTTCATGAGTGTTGACCTGAGAGAGCGTTTTGCTTTTCCAATACCTTTCTCGTAAGTTTATCTTTTTACTCACCAAATACTTTTTTCATTGCTCACCATTAAGAACTTTCAATGTTGTTGAACTGTGATAATAAACTGCCATTACTGATAAGTATGCATATGTCTCTGTGTATGTGTGAGTGGATGGGTGGATGGACGGACAGACAGACTGAATTAAAAAGACTTGCTCAACATCTAGGTACTAACAGTAATTTTTCAGATTTTGCTGTTTTGAACAAAAAGCTTACAAATGCGTGTACTATATGAGTAATACCACATTAAACAGATCTGAAAAATTGCCATGGCACGTATTAGTGCATGTATCCACATTTTAAACAAAAATCAAAATTTGTAATACACACAAACAAGGCAATCTTTTTTTTTTTTTTCCTCAGATTTCTGTGATATTGGGGTTTTCAAGATAACTAATATTCTGATGGGCTTCTGCCAATAGGGCAGATGTAAAAGAAGAGAAGCATTTGAATCTAACTCTTCCTGGCCAGTTTCTTCTTTTTATTGGAAATGTCCCCCGAGGCTTATTATGGAAAAATCTAAATTTATGCCAGCAAATTACATGTCAGTTTGAGAATCTGTTAAATCAGTGGCCTCTTGCAGCCATTTTCTAACTAATCTTTACCATACTTCCTTTGGCCTCTTCCAGTGCCAGACATTTGATATCTGAAATGTGGACCTGGATGGGGGTGGAAGGAATTCCTTGTCTATTTCCCCTTTTAAGGTTGGAACTTTTTCCAACTTTGGAGGGAAAATCCCCCCAAAAGTGGTCTCCTGGATAACCCCAAATAATCATTCTGAGGTAGTTTGCAGTCTATTTTTAAATTTCCAAGGTTCTGTTAACCCTTTCTGTAAATTAAATATCTCCCAAAAGACCATCTGTTAACACTGGCTGGGTTTACACATTATGCTAAGTCATGGTTGTTGAATAAGCCATAGGGGCCTTATTCATACATAATGCTAGGCCATAAATCATGGTTTACAAACTATAAGGGTATGGTTTGCACACTGCCCTATACCATAATGTGTTCTAGTTAGTTTTGGTTTAGCATGATGTATGAACTTAGCCAACAAAGGAATAGTTTGTGCCTTAATAGAGCCTGGGTGAGTTAGAGGACCTATGTGCGAGAATCTCAGAAGTAAAAATTCTGAGAAAAATTTCAGAACTAAAATGAGGAAGGTCCTGTAATATAGAGATTAGTTTGAGGAAGTATAACAGAAAGGCAGTAATTCAGATTAGGAACCTAAACAAGGTTGGTTAAGAACTGGAAGTGGAAAGCTAAGAGCAAAACCATAAAAACATAGTTGCTGGTCTCATGCACTGAAAATGTTTAGATTTCGGTTTTTTCATTCACCCTGAGCAATAATATCTGATGAAATTATGTTTGCCAGCCTATGGATTGTATACTTATCAAGCAATTTTGATTTCAGAGATAAATGTGGCCCATTGCCCTTGTCTCCCAAGCAAAAGGCTATGTTTTCCCGGTGGGTGCGGCCAAACGATTTAACAAATAATCCCACTATGATCTATACTGTGTCAAGCTTCAGCATTAAACAGGTAAACTCAATTTCTTTCTTTTTCTGTTTCTTTCTCTTTATCTTCTAATATATACACTTACAGTTTTGTGAAAGTTTAACAACCAAGTTGGGACTGGCAATTCCATCACTAAGTGACGCCGTCATTAAGCAAGACATCACACAACTGCAACTTGCAATTTTACTGCCAGCTTCTCCATTGATTTTGCTTGTTGAAAGCTGGCACATTTATGACCGTGGGAGACTGTGGCAGTCATAAATGTGCACCGGTTGCAAAGTGCCTGAATCTCGAGCATGTGACCGTGGGGACAGTGGGATGGTCATAAGTGCAAGGACCGGTTGTAAAATTACTTTTTCAGCACCACTGTAACTTAGAACGGCCGCTAAACAGAGCAGTTGTTAAGCAAGGTCTACCTGTAATTCCATCTATATTTCATTTTTACTGCAAAAAGACTAGATTTTGCCTGACTTGGCCCTTCCTTCCTCTCTCTATTTGCAAGCCCTGCAGCTTCCGTGTCTCTTCTCTGGTCTTACCACCCTCATGTGTTAATATGTTCTGGGGCCATTATCCAAGAATCAGAACTACTGTTTCATTTGCAGTCTCTGATCCAGTAAAGCCAGTTGTGTTGTGATAGTGAATAGGAAGGAGAGAAAAGAGGGGAAGAGAGCCAGTCATACGTGCTCATCCGTTAAAATGCATGGAGAATACCTTTGTTAATGTGTTTGAATCTGTTAGAGAATTTACAGGTTTCTAAATCAACTGAAGAAATTAAATTGGCCTTGGGTTGGATCACAGTTGTTTTAATGTATTATGTCTGAACTGTGGGAACTAAATCATATGCTTCTTGAATTCTTTTTGCCCTCGTCTACGTTTACTGTTTTTGTTCTCAGACAATTGTATCAGATTGTTCCTTTGTTGCTTCACTTGCTATCAGTGCAGCATATGAGAGACGATACAACAAGAAATTGATTACAAGGTACACTCTTTTCTGTTCAATGGCATGTGATGTTTTTTTCAAAAAAATAATTTTATGTTTTGGGAGTTTGTTGCCAGATACACTTAAGTAGGGATGCACTTTATTCTGATTTAAACTTACTTTAGAAATAAATAGCCCTGATTTGAGATGACAGTTTCAACTCAGTTTGTCAAATTACTTTTTCATTTGGTGTGTACAGTTTTTCTGAATTCTGGCCAGGTGATAAAAGAAAGAAACAAATTGTTCAAAAGCAGAAATGCCCTAGCAGCAGAAAATTTTGCTGTGTCATTATTCTGTAAACTTACTGTAGGAAAAAAGGTGACCTTGTTCGTGTAAAAGATTCTGCAGTACCCATTGTGAGTTGTTTCACAAATACCACAAATGTTTGTCAACAGATTTTTGTTTGTTTATTTACTTATACAGTATGTCACATTTATATAGCCACCCATCTCACACAAAGCAACTCTGGGTGACAAAATAGAATGTAACTATTTTTCATAGTTACAGTCTAAATTTCACTGCAGTATGTACAGTATTTGCTTTGCACACTCTCATTGGTGTTCTCTTGTTCCCCGTTCTGCAATGGGACCCTAGACACAAGGTTTAATGTTAAATTCCTGCGTATCAGTGGCAGTATCTGAATTCTAAACTTAAGAATTTCAGGGTAAATCCACTATAACTTCCTTCTCTAATTTTTAAGTAGTTTAATTGGGTGATGCTATCGTTTTATTAAAAAAAAATAGTAAACCCAAAGGAAACTTTCCCACAAAGGTGAAAAGCAATAATAGTGAATGTTTGCTGTTATATACTTCTGGAAAATACTGTGTTTGCATTTCATTCTCAGAGTATTTTACTTTTTCATACCATATTTTCATTTCTGACGTCTGCTAGCATTTCTGTCTGAGTTGTCGGTTAATGATGTGGAGCTCAAATGGCATATTTTACGTATTTCATGCATACAGAATATAGTCTAATGTTGTCTATATGTTTTTTTCAACATAGCATCATTTACCCGCAGAATAAAAAAGGAGAACCAGAATATAATCCATGTGGAAAATACATGGTCAAGCTGCACATCAACGGTGTCCCTAGAAAGGTAAAGTAAAGATTTAAACTTTTAACAAGTTTTAACAAGCACTCTATCCCATTGTCCACTGACTGAGGTTCTAACAGTCTTATTTTAGTTGGATTCTGCAAACCACCTTCCTTGTGTAGTAATTTCTTTGAAAGCCTTATTAAAAGCCTCTAGGGCTGCACATATAACACCTCTGCTGCGTGAGTTGCATTGGGTGCTGGTTTGCTTCTGGGTCCAATTCAGGGTGTTGGTTATGACCTTTAAAGCCCTGCATGGCATGGGACCAGGTTACCTGAGGAACTGTCTTGTCCCGGTTGCATCAGCCTGTCCCACTCAGTCCGGCAGGAAGGGCATGTTACAGACCCCGTCAGCTAAGGAACTTTGACTGGCAGAGTTTAGGAGGAAAGCCTTTTCTGCCGTTGCCTTCACCCTGTGGAACGTCTTGCCCTCTGAGATGAGATTGGCCCCCCACTCTTCTGGCCTTCTGGAAGAGCATTAAGACCTGGCTCTGCCACCTAGCATGGGGATGTAATGGGGGCTCGCAGCACTGGGGATGGTTGGTGGTTTGAAGACGCTCTCTCCATCTTTTAACTTTGTATATTTTTGTAAAGACTTCTATCCTTTTTATCACTTTATTTGTAAGCCACCTAGAGTCACTTATACAGTGAGATGGGCAACATATAAATTTGATTAATAAAATAAATAAGTAAAATAAAAGTCGTGAGGGCTGCAGCTTTGCTTTGCATATTGTTTGATCTTGCTCCATCTGTTTTGTCCAGGTGATCATTGATGATCTCTTACCAGTAGATCACAGTGGAGAACTTCTCTGCTCCTATTCAAACAACAAAAATGAGCTCTGGGTATCATTGATAGAAAAAGCTTACATGAAAGTCATGGGAGGGTATGATTTTCCAGGTTCAAATTCGGTGAGTATCAGGTGATTCTTGGAAAGGTGTTAAAAAAAATTAGGCTGGCAAAGGTTGCTTGGTAGATAATTTTCCTTTTAATCTAGATCAGTTTTTTTCACTGCAGTGGCCGCCAGGCATTTTGAGGGCAACTATCAGCAGGGTTAAGGACAATGAGATTGCAGTCCAAAAAACATTGTAGTCCAAAAAAGCTTGTTTAGAAAGTACGTACAAAAAATTGTAATTAAAAATTAAAATTAAAAAAGTAAGTAAAATTGTAATTAAAAATTGTCAAATTAGAAGGTAAATACAAAAAGTTGTAGTGCAAAAAAGATTGTAATCCAAAAAAGATTGTTTAGAAAGTAATAAAGATTTGACATCAAAATGTGTGCTTCTGTAGTACTGAGAGTACTCTCATCTATTTGCACCCCGTGGTTTACCTGCTTTTTCCAGCAAATAATGTCCCTTGGAATTAATCATATTTGGAACTGGCATCAGTTACTTGGATGCACTCAGCAAATATAAGATATTTTCCTGATATCTAATACTGAGTTCATTTGGTTCTGACTGTGTGTGCGTGTGTGTGTGTGTGTTTGTGTGTGTAATCAAATCCTTTGGGCCTTGTTGCAATCACATTTTCAATTTAATCTGTGCAGTTGTGAAAGGAAAGAACCACTATATTTGCCATCCAACAAAGAAGAAAAAAGGAATTGAATCATGTAATGCAGTTCTATCTTATTTGAAAGCTATTACAAAATCTGTGATTACTATTCTGTGTTCCTTATATGCCTGCATTGGGGAAAAAAAGGAATTTTTCATAGCTGTGGAATTATTATCGAAATGTATAGATATCAAAAACCGTACTTTTCTGGAGATGTGATTACAATAATCTGGATTATACTTTTTTGTTGGTGATGACAGAATATTGATCTCCACGCATTGACTGGTTGGATACCTGAGAGGATTGCCATGCATTCAGACAACCAAACATTTAACAAGGATAATTCCTTCAGAATGCTTTACCAAAGGTAATTTTTGCTGAGTTCCAAAAATGTTCCAGTCATGATGTTGTAAAAACTCAGGTTTTTAATTGAACCCATGGTGGACCCTGGTTTTTGGAGGGCCTCCAGGAGAGGCAGTACCTTAGCAGCTTTAAGATGTGTGGACTTCAACTCCCAGAATTCCCCAGCCGGTTGTAAGAGTGATCAGTTGTGATCACCAACTGTGATCAGTTGGCCCAGCATTTTGCTTGAGTCTAGACAAGATCTAGAGTGGTAATCTTGTCATGTTATCTGGGATTCTTTTGATCCTATAACTCTGAGGAAATGGATAGAGTGCTGCCTAAGATGTCCTCTATCATCTATGGCCTGGACCCTTGTTCCTCATGGCTTCTTCATAAAGCCGGAAAAGGGGTGGTGGTTATTTCCTGAATCTGGAAGATTGTCAATGCCATTTTGTGGGAGAGGGTGTTGCCAGCAGCCTTGAAGGAGGTTGTGGTACCCTCCCCTCCTCAAGAGGCCCTCCATAGATGTAAAGGGGTGAATTAACTATTGCCTAATCCCCAACCTGCCATTTTTAGCAAATGTTGAGACAGTAGTGAGCCGTAGATAAAACAGTTTAACCAAACCTTGTCAGTCAGAGTTGAGGCATGGGCATCAGAAGAAACAGCTTGGGTCACGCTAGTGAATGACCTTTGCTGGGACCTGTATGAGGGTAATGTGCCCATCTTGGTCATATTATTTCTCGGTGACTTGAGAACATTGATCATGGTATCCTTCTGGGGCTAGAGGCCCTGTTTTACAGTAGTTCTACTCCTTCCTCAGTGGTTGGTTCCAGTCAGTGGTAGTAGAAGAGAGATAACTCAGTGGCTGCTTCTTTATGGGATGCTGTAGAGGCCAGTCCTCTTCCCATTGCTACTTAATTAAACCACTGAGTGAGATCATCCACTGTTTTGGGTTATGGTATGCTGATAATATTCAGCTCTACAGCTCTACTCTGGGGCATACTGCTAAGCTGTTGAGGTCCTGTTTTGATGTCTGGAGGCAGTGCTGGTCCAGATGGAACAGCCATAAACTGGATCCTAGCACAACAGAGCTCTGTTTGTGCATTGGGATTCTTAGTGGCTCCAGTGGTGACTCTGGATGAGAAGCATTATACCCGAAGGAGTAGGTCTGCAACTTGGGGATCTACCTGAACTTGTGGGTCCTGTTAGATCTGGAGATGGAAGCCATGGCCAAAGGGAGTTTTGTCTAGCTGCAAGTAATGTGCTATTTGTGGCCCTACCTAGGTTGGGAGGACCTGGCTATGGTGACTCATGCCCTCGTCACCACTCAGTTGGTCCAAAATGCAGCACCCCATATATTACCTGGCAGTTATTGAGTGAAGTATATTACACCTGTATTACAGACCCTGAATTGGTTTCCTCTTGGCTTCCAGGTGCAATTGGTGTTATTGGTGTTAACCTATAAAGCCCTTTATAGCTTGGCTCCAAGCTACCTTCAGGACTGTATTTGCCCACTAGAATTGGGCTGACTTATTCTGTATTGTTGGGGAAAGCAGCCAGTGGTTTCCCACTTTTGGGAGGTGTGGGGGCCAAGGCACAGAGATGTAGTCCTGAAGGTAACACCTATGGGACAGTCTAAGGTAGAAATATAAATAGGGTCCAAAGAATCCAATTCCAGGTGTGAAGATGAAACTCTGGTATGTTTGATGTTTCAGGATTCAGTCGCCACCGATTGACATAAATGAGCTGGCTTAATTAGAAATATTAAGAAATGAAGTCTTGGTGGAGTTTCCAACTAAAACTACTGAAGGGTTTATATATATACACACACACACACACACACTTCTGAATTCTCCTTTTTCCTAGAATTTTCTTGAGCATCTATTATGCAATCATGTAGTTAAACTTTCCAAAATTCTACATGATGTTGTTGTTGTTTTTCTTTAGAAAACTAAATAGGCAAGCATTGCATGCGAAACATTAGCAGCCAAGTCTAAAGTAAACTTTTTTGTTCTTGGCCAGATTTCACAAGGGGGATGTGCTTATTACAACAGCCACAGGAGTGATGACTGAAGAGGAAGGGGAACGGTGGGGTTTAGTGCCGACCCACGCCTATGCTGTTTTGGATATTAGAGAATACAAGGTAACTTTGACAAAAGAGCCTTTGGACATACTCTTACAGTTGGCATGGCTTGCCTTTTTTTTTTTTTTAATCTGATCAAAAACTAGGGGAAAGAAAAGCTTTGAAAAATCAGTCAAATCAGTCTTTTCAGCCCCAAAGTGGGATTAAAATGCTTTAAATAATGGAATAATGTTAAAGAGGTAAGCAAGTCCAAACCAGAGTTTACTTTTAGCCCCTTAGCTCCTTTTTTGGAGCCATTGGAGCTCCCTCTCCCACCCCTGAAATTTGATGAGGAAATACCACAGCTCAGTTTTATGAATTTTCAGAACTTCTTAGAAACAAAATAAGCCTCTGGTGGTTTTGATATACTGAATGTCCTTTAAAAAAAAGAAACATAAACATAAAAAGAAAAAAGAAAATGACCTAAAAACATTTGCCCTGCCTTCTGTGGTGATATCATGCAACCCCTCAGCAGCCCTTCCAGTCGATGGTGATTGAATTCTTTTAAAAACAAAGGGTTGTCTGTTCCTGATAAAGCACTATAATGCTAATAAAATCTGATTTATCCAGTCATTCTAGAAATTAAATGGCAGAGAGAGAAAGAGACAGAGAGAAATCTTTATTGCAATCCATGATCAGTAAAATTGATGACATTTAATTTATTTTCTTTATTCTTAAAAAGAAATATCTAATAAAGTCATATTCTGTATCTCCTTTTTCTTCAGGGTCTTCGCTTCCTCCAGTTGAAAAATCCCTGGAGCCACCTACGTTGGAAAGGGAGATATAGTGAAAATGACATCAAGAGCTGGATCCCTGAACTTCAGAAATACTTAAACTTTGACCCCAGAACAGCCCAAAAAATAGACAATGGTAAAAAAGCAGGATGATTTTTGAACAAACATGGCTACAAATGATTTGTTTTTTCTTCGTGTCCCTTTTGTGGTCCAAGAGAAAAGCTGGAGAGATAGCAGAGGAATCACGTCTCCCATCAATCCGCAATAGGAGTACAATCAAGGATGGTCTTTCTCAAGGCCATAAAGCAGAGGTGTCCAAATCACTAACAGAATCTTCTGCCTAATAGCTGTTTAGAATCCCCTTGCAGGACTAAAATTTACAAAGGGTACTAATGATATATGATACAGCCTAGTGCATATTTACCGGAGAGTAAACACCACTGAAGTAGTGAGATTAACTTTGGAGTAAATGTGCATAGGAAATCGCATCTTCAAGAGGGAAGCTTTATCTGGATAAAGTTGTGGGTTGGGTGGGTGATGTCAAGCACCTCCACTGGGCATTTTAAGATTTGGCAGAGGAGTGGTCGCAAGTGAAAACCAGTGTACCTTAATTCATCATCGCAGCTAAGGAATTTAGGTGTGCCTGGGGAGCTCACAGAGTGATTTGGGGCCAGTCCTGCTTTAGTTCAGCCTACTTCCCACTTGCTAATCTCACAGACACAAGTGGGATATAAATGCAAGAAATAAGACAATGCAAGAAATAAGCGATGAATTGTGGTTTATTAAAAACCAGAATCAGTGGTCATAAAAGGTCTTAGTGAAATTACTTTACAGATAGTTTCTGCAACTGTGAAAACAGAACTAATGAGGAAATGCAACACATAAGTACTAAACTGAGACCTATTGCCACTTTTCAGTAGGCGGAACATTGTAGGCTAATTTCCTATGAAGTCTGAGAAGTATTAATTTATGACACAGTCTTGCAGTATGCATGCTTTCTGGGAGTAAGTTTCGCTGAACTCTGTGGTACTTATCTTTGAGTAGGCGTACATGGGATTGCAGTATGTTTGCTTAGTCATTTTTTCCTACCATTTGTTAATTTAATATTCACTCACTGCTGTTGGATTATAAGTCATTGATGAAAATGTTTAAACAGTTGTATCTGCATGTTTCTCCTTCTATAGGGATTTTCTGGATTGCCTGGGAAGATTTGTGCAAGTATTACGACGTTATTTATTTGAGCTGGAATCCAGGTCTTTTTAAGGAATCCACCTGCATTCATAGGTTTGTCCAATAGAAAAGGATATAAAATGCTTACGCTTCCTGTATGCCTGTTGCAGATAGTAGGGTTGAAGTCATTAACCTCCCTTAGCCTAACATTTAAGTAATAATCAGCAATGCCTTTCTTTACACTTTGAAACCTGGTCTGAGGATAAATGACTCACGTGTAAACTGGTGGAATTGGATTACTTACCATGATCCCATTACTTTTTGAGCATTTGTAAATTTCAGGCTTGTACATCTACAACTGTTTTTGCTTTATTATTTCTCCCTAAATAGTATTTCACACGAACTGTCAAGATCACAAGTTGTTCAGAGCAGATGGTAGCCTTTGTGAAAGTATAGTATTTAATTGTTGAATTGCGATGCTTTTAAATAAACACAACTCTATTTCTGCCTTATTCTTTTCTAAATAGTACCTGGGATGCGAAGCAGGGTCCTGTGAAAGATGCTTACAGCTTGGCTAATAATCCACAGTACAAGCTGGAGGTTCAGTGCCCACAAGGTGGTGCTGCAGTCTGGGTTCTACTCAGTAGACATATTACTGACAAGGTATTCATCGCTTTTCCAAATAACTTGTAATGGAAGCATAATGCAGTTCGAAGATGTGGGTGTTCTTTATGACATTTGAGCTACCCGAGGGGTAGTGAAAAACACATTTGATACGTCTCTCCATCTTCCATGAGTGCAGCGTTTGATGCCTGATGCACCAACGTAGCTAGATCCTAAATTCTTGCTGTGTCTGGCCACAGTGGTCCTGTACTAACTGCATTGTAAATTAGACATGAACAGACTGGAAGAAATTGAATGGGCTCCTTTAGCCTAGAGCTAAAGCCTTTAGCTATCCACACAAGGAGAACCAGTTTTTTTTTCATTTCAGTCTCCAATCAGAGTTCAGTGGCTCCTGATAAAGTCTGGGTATTAATTCTTACCCTGTAAAAGGAAAGCTTATTTACGTATAGAACGTGAATTTTCCCTGTCCAAAATTTGCGATCCATTAATCAGATATATTCCAGATCGGTTGGGCTACAACTGGTTTCCAGCATTTGGGTATGATGTCTGGCAATTATGGGAGCTGAAGTCCAACATGATCAGAGATTGTTAGATATGGGGAGACTGCTTGATTAGGGAGGTCTGAAACAACTGATCATAGTTAAGACATGGAAGAATGTTGAATGAAATCATGGCCATAGATAAATGTTTGCTTTTGGGGACTAAATGAACATAAACTGATGTTTGTAATCACTTTTCTACAGGATGACTTTGCATGCAACCGGGAATTCATCACAATGGTTGTCTATAAAACTGATGGGAAGAAGGTGTACTACCCTGGTGTGTATATCAAAATTTTCTTTCCTGCGCAAAAATCAATCCTCCAACTTTACTTCCTTCTTGATTCATTGTTGAAGAAAGATAGGAAGTTTGGATATAACTTTGGGTGATAAATATGTTCGCTAACAACAGCATCCGGTGGGGGGGGGTGTCAAAAAAAGGCAAGATGGTGGTCACAGCAGCATAATCAATAGAAAATGGGCAGAGCTTCAGTCCTACTGCCATGGGGATAATAAAGCTTCATTCATTCATCTTAATATATATTTTCATTGATTTATTGGATTAGAAATATGGACTGGAAATGTAAGATCTGCCCATCCCTCCACGTATGTGTGCAAAGAATTTATTTTGGAAAGTTAGAGGGTACTGTATTTGTGTTGCTTCACTATTAGTGCTCTTATATAATAATGTATTAATTATAATATTTATTGTAATAATTTCAGGTTAGTCTATTCTAAACAATTTTTTAAACACAAATGTACACATTTCTTTCTATTTTCAGCTGATCCTCCACCATACATTGATGGGATTCGAATCAACAGTCCCCACTATCTAACCAAGATAACACTCACTTCTCCAGGCACTCACACATTTACCCTTGTGGTTTCTCAGTATGAGAAGCAGAACACAATTCATTATACCGTCAGGGTAAGTGCTTATGAAGACTTTTAAAAAATATTAAATGGAAATCATTAGCACTACCACGTCTAGTCCTTCAACTTCCATGACCCCATTCTGAAAAGAATTATGTATATGTGATAAGCTTCATATGTATAACAATCATCAGTCTGCCTCTGATTAGGGTAGGGTTATCACCAGAATGTTGTCCAATACAAAATCCAAAGTGAGTTTGCCTGCATTTCCTCCGGCTCCATAATCTGAACTCCTGAGAAAAGACGCAAGTTTAAGATGCATGAAAATATTGCCAAATAAAATGGAGGCCATGTTATGTATTGCCCTAAGTATCCTCTGTCATATCTCTGTGGATTGGAGATACAGGAGCTCCTATTTCTCAAGGGTACTTAAAATCCTACTGCCATCTTTAAGAGGGAGGAGAATTTCCATCTTTAATTCTATTTCATCAAGTAGTTTTACTTGAAATAATTACTTCCTCTGCATTAAAAGTAGGTCATAACTATTGGTTGGGCACAAGGGGATCTGGAGTATCAGAAGATTACTGCAGATAAAAATATACTACTCTCCTAACTTGTGGATCAAAAATAGCCTCTGAAATGCTGTTTTTATGAGTATTCTGGATAAGTATGTTTGCTTTAAAAGCAATTTTTTTCCCATTATTTTCAGGTCTTCATCCAAAAGAACATTATATAAATATATTTGCAAAAGTTAATAGATCTTTCAAAAAACTGTATAGTCTTGTTGCTTTTCAGTGAGAAAGAAATCAAAATTGTATAGTTCTCATTCAGTTCCAGCCTTGTATGTTTCCCCAGTACACCTCCTTTTATTGGTTGTAAGAATCATTCTGTGTTAAAGATTATTTTTTTCTTGATCTTAGGTATATTCAGCATGCAAGTTTACCTTTTCTAAGATCCCATCGCCATATACTATATCAAAAAGGGTAAGAAATAATTAAATATGCTAGCACCATCTACTTGTTACCCATGCCTAACTGCATAAATGTTAGGCATAGGGATGCAAAGTAAGATAGAGATTTCTTGGTGTCTTCTTTTGTGGGTTTTTATTACATAATATTGCATTAACTACTCCTTGTATTGGATTGAATAGAAAAACTCTTCTTAATGTTCATGTGACTTGGTAGTTGACTTGATAGTTGAAGAACATTTGATTGCATGACCAGCATTGTTTAGGTTTAGCCAATTTTAATAGCATGAAGATAACATAATTGCAAGTAACCTTTGAAGTCCTGTGTTAGTCAGAAAAGCTCAGATCTCTTTTGGGCTGCCTCCCCCAACAGGAGAACCTCTAAAGCTCTTAGAATAGCTGGCTGGTGAAAATTCTGATCCCAAGATATTTGGAGGTCACCAGGTTGGGAGAAGACTACTGTAAGGCATAGCCTTTCTCATTAAACTACAGTAAATAGGTTTCCACGTCCTTTTGTCAGAATTAAACAATCACTAACAATCAGTCTCTGATGTATTGTTACCAGTCAGATTATATAGAGACATGAGCTAGAAACAAGCCTGATGATCAGAAAAATGTGGTTCATGTTCCTGCATCAAATCCAGTTTCCTTTTCTGGATTGCTTATTCTCACGTCCCTAAAAGTATGTACTAAGCATGGGGTTATATTAAGCTAAAATGTAATTTGCTGAGAAGTAAACTTTGTCTTTGAAGTGAATAATGAGGGCTAATTAAGTAAGAGAGATGAAATTAAATTGAAAGTAGCTTTTTTAGAAAGAAGAAGAAAATAAATGTGCTGGCTGAGCAGCTCTTGGGTTGATTTTCCTCAGGTGAACGGGCAGTGGAAAGGTCGCAGCGCTGGTGGATGTGGAAATTTTAGAGATACTTGCAAGAATAACCCTATATACCAGTTTCAACTAGACAAGACTGGGCCACTCCTGGTTGAGCTAAGAGGACCAAGGTTTGTGCAACAATTAATGATTGTAACAGTATAGTTACTGCTTACAATTAAGGTTTGCAGATCAGTTGTTCCAATCTGATTTAAAATATTTGGTTTAGATTCACCAGTAAGAATTCAATTATGCTATCCATAACTTTCAGCCCATATCAACTGCAAAAAGAGCTAGAAAGTGGTTTTTAAAAGAATTGTTGTTAATTGTTTTCAAAATCTGAGCTCAACCCCAAACTCTCTGGTTGCTTTCATACATCACATTAAGCCATAAGCTATTATAGATCTCAGTAGCTAGGTTTGCGTGACGCCCTTGTTAAAAGTTAAACACTCTGTTATGGCTTAGCACAAAACATGGGTCCAATAGGCATATAGATGGAATCAGAGAATATACACCAGTTTCGAAAATCTTGCTATAAACTCAAAAGCCATTCAACTTCTAATTGATTTATAGGCAGTACAGTGTTGGACTTGAAGTTGTGACAGTCTCTTCAATGGGAGACCCAGGACCTTTGGGCTTTCAGAAGAAAAATAGTGGCGATTACAGGTAATAGCTCATCTGATTTCTGCATATTTATTGCTGTCATACTAGATCTTGTATTACATTGTCCTTCTCTCCCTGTTTAACTTCCCAAGGTGTGGCTTTTGCTATCTGGAAATTGAGCATACACCTGCCGGTACTTACAATATTATTCCAAGCACTTTCCTTCCACAACAAGAAGGACCATTTTTCTTGGACTTCAATACTGCTTCCCCTCTTAAAATATCACAGCTGCAATGAGATCACCTACAACAACATTTTTTATACCATATGGCAAACTACAACTGTCACGCTGAAGAGCTGTCTAAGAACCTACCTGAGAAAATGTTTACAAGGGATACACAAAAGGAATGTGGACTATCACAAGAAGAATTGCACTCTGAAATTACAGCAGCCTGATACTATCTTTATGTCCGTTGCAAAGCAAAGTGGAAAACTTGGATTTCTCTTATTTGTGCTGTGACAAAGTTGAGGGCAAGCAAAAAAGTTGCTGGTGTACCCTGATATTTTATTTTGCATGGCTTTGCTTGTACAAATTTGGCACTTTATATATTTTAAGACTTTTTTTTCAAATGCATTTCCCTCATCAGCTTTGTTTTTTCTAAGTAATATGTCAGAGAGCTTCAATTCTATCCATCTTAATCTGGGATAGTTGTCCTGGAGAAAAATGAACATTTAGCCTGCTGCCTTGAGTCAGGTGTCAGCTGATTTACCTGATCAAGTATAGGACGGAGTAAAACTGATACTTATATATCACTGCTTGCTGGCTAGTAGATCAAGTATCTTCGTACAAGGGGTGAAAGAACTGGATATACAGAATCTATAAATCTGTAAATAGAGTGGCACATTTTATACAACTTGGGCCTTGATTTACTAAACGTGTTTGTCAAACTACAGAACAGGGCATGACTGATACATTTTCTTTGGGCTAAAAGCTGCATCCTTGGGCTGAAACCCACCTCCCACTTTTATTGCATGAGCTCTATTATAAAGTCTGTACCCTCAAACATAGTTTCACACCAGAAATTCTATAGGTGTTAAAGTTATGCACAAGCACTTTCACTCTCTTGCTATTGTGGCAAGTTTTCCTAGCTCCTTGGAAAAAGATCAGCCTTCTACCCAGCCAGCTGTACTAGTTAAATGTGTACAGTCCACAGAGAAAGTTATTACTGCATGCTTTGGTGATTGGTGAGATGGATGGGATTAAAGAAAACTAGCCCAGAGCCGGTTTGGCTTGTAAAATTTATCAAACAGGTGAAACATCTGAAATTCTATGAAGTAAGCTAGGCTACCAAGGCCTTTTTGTTATATATTTCAAAGATAGATATGCTGGTATGGCTAGTTAATAATTCTCAGCTTGGTTTTATCTGTGGAGAAGATAAAATCATTTTCCAGAGTTTTCCCTTGAGTTCCTTAGAATCCAAAAGTTTAGGTGCATCAGTCTTCTGATTAGACAGAAAGATTAAATCAAATTGTTCCGATGCAAACTTACAAATCAGAATTCAGTCAGGAGTGGTCAATGCTTTTAAACATTAAAATGAAACACAGGCTTGGCTAGCTAAATGTATTAAGAACCTTAGGTCTTTGAAGATATTTGCAGGATCGTACTAGAACTTTGTGGCATGATTGGGCCTTTTTCTTTCCAGCAGCTGCCCAAAGACCACCCCATTCCACCAAGCAAGAGTTTTCTTAGCAGTGGGTGCAGCTTCCTAGAAGTGAACTTCAAACAGATCAATCAATACTGTGGATGGCCTGATGTAGTGTTCTTGGTAGTTCCAATAGTACTGATTTATCATAGGGTTGATTCATAAGAGAAATCAGCCTGGAAGATCTGTTTGGGTGGATTTTAATCTGTCTGTATCTGCTCCTGCCTTTTGTATAGAGAACTGGAATAGCAAAGAGGAAGGGAAGGTTGAATTTTTCACTGAACATATTGACATATATTTCTTGATTTCCAGTCTGGGTTGTAATAAATATTCACTACTCCTAGCACTTCACCCTAAACCATGAAAGGCCATAAGTGGCTAGCTCCTATTTAAAGGATATAATCCTGGAATTGGGACTTATAAACTGCTGTTTTTAATTTAGAAAGCAGAATCTAGGAACACACACACACCCCCCTATAAAAAAGCCAGTCACCAATTGTTACTAATTCTCAGTTCGGTTTGTAGCTCTGACTTGCCACTGCCTAGAGACCTAAATCGAATCTTTGTGGTTTTCATCTATTAAACTTCCAAGACTTTTCTTTCTTTGTATGTTTGCGTGGAATGAAACACACAAAATCTTCACTCTACATATATTGTCCACATCAAAGGGGGAGGTGGGAAAAAGTCTTGTTCTCTTTTTCATTCACCTGTTTGCTTTACCAAATCTACTTTCCCTTTGTACCTGTACTGAACAGGAATGCTTTCCAAGGTAACTAATGAGATGACAATGTTCTGCAGGCAGACCTTCATCTATAAGTCAGTAATCAAAGAACACAATAACTGACTTAAGGATGAATTAAGAGCCATTCCACAGAACATTTATCTATTTTAACTGATGTTTCACTCTATTTTTACTGTAAACCGCCCAGAGTCACTCCACAGTGAGATGGGCGGTGACAAATTTGAAATATAAATATAAAATAAAACATCCATTTTCTTTGTGGCTCATGAATTGCCTATGAACTTTGGTACGTGCCTACCTAAAAACATTTCTGCCTGTTATACATAGAAGCGGGAACGCTATATGGTGTGCATATATAGATTTCATTGGCTATGCCTGAATTTTTCCCTCTATGTAGAGTATGAAACACACCACAGGTATCAGTTCACAGACTTTCCAATAAAGCCAAATGACTGAAATAGGTTTAAAGAAAATGCCAGCATCGATACTATGTAAATTTTTGGTGCAGAATGCTCCATTAACTGGAGCAAAACTTATTAGTAATCAGGTTTATGAGTTCAGGGTATAGCTCTACATTATTGCCAGCACCACCACTCAAACAAGCTGGATGTTCAGGGTAAATCTGTGAATGGCACAAAACCAGGAAGTTATTTGCCCTTTCATTTGAACTCAGTGGCCTGTCAACATGATATACTTACGGGGCACAGCAGCCATTGGGAAGGCATACTTTAGCCCTAGGGCTGTTTGAGGTTAAGGTAACTCCTCCCCTGCGCCTTACAAGCCATGTTGTCCAAACAGGAAGGGGACCAATAATTTCGTCTGGCGGCAACAGAGAAGTCCTCAGGTGGGCCTAGAGAAACAGGATTATACTATGCATTTGATTGTACTTTTTGTGCACCTCCCATTTTGTTTGCAGTGCTTTGAATGATAAGGCCACTCTGAATTTTTAAAAGTTTTCTACGGTGATGAATAGCTAGAGTGACAGTCTTCTTTATAGCAGGTCAGACATTGAAAATGGCCACTTCCTCCCTTGACTAAGATGTTGGCGATTGCTGGCAATGTGTAAGGTCAGAATTTACCCCAGGGGAATGATTAAATGTCATAACATCCAACAAAACAGCTTAATTTTGCATCATCTAACTCAGTGTTTCTCAACCTTGACAGCTTTAAGATGTGTGGACTTCAACTCCCAGAATTCCACA